GTTGAGACTGACTACCAATTTCCTGTATCAGTAACTTTCAGATTTTAATGTTGTAAAATAGTATGTAAATAATGTTACAACTTATTGTAAATATTGTTATCACGAGAGATAGTAAGTGTTATTTAAAACATTATACACTGTAGTTTTGTAAATATTGAATTTTTATAATTCCTTTTATAGAAATATTAATCCTGATATTTATGGTATATTGTTCTTTCATTCTAGAACAAAGTTCTGGCAATGGGAATACCCCTAAACTACATCTGAACCATATAATTAGTTTTAAAGGGTCAAAAAAAGGACTTCTTTAAAACAACTAACAAAATACCCAACATCACTTTCAACCGTAGAAGAACGAACATAACTATTCACAGATATTTAACGGACATTATCCAAAGTTTAAATGCATCGAAATATACAGCGAGAAACTTACAACCGTTAGTATCTTTCCGACACAATTAAAATCTAATTTTCTAGCGCTGTTATTAAGAATATATTGTCTTCTTTATTAAATTTTCTTATTCTAAAGTATATTCTCGTATAGAATGGACTATAAAGTTATTTATGTTACTAATTTTTTTTTTTTATATTAAAAAAAAATAAGTTCAGTGGTAGAACAATTTTACTTCTCTAAATTTAAAAATATTTTCTCAAATTATTTCTATACCAGAAATTGCTAATCGTTCTATATCGTTACAGAAAAAAGGCTTGGAGAGCGCCTCCCCTTTACATTAACAACTTATTTCGACGTGTCCACATCTCATCCTTCGAATTAACGAGTCATGTGCTCAACCTAGATGGTCTTGAAACTCGAGCACTCCCTGTAAGATGAACCAGAGCAGGAAACTAGATAAGATCAACCTGAAGAGTTAATAACATAAACAATTTGTATTAGTATCTGTACTTAACTGTGGGGGGGGGGGATTCATAATGTCAGTATAACGATGACCTTAAAGTAAGAATACAAAAATTTGGAATTTATACGGAATAACTTAATATCATCTCTTTCTTTGTCTAAAGCGGAAGGAGTGTGAGATAGCATATTCTATTGTTATTTTGTTATGGATTTCTTTACCGTTCATTTATTATTCATTCTATCGTTTAGTTAACCTCTGGATTTTTATTTGCACTTCAATGCTAACTCACCTTCTAGCTAATCTCGTCAATTTTGAATTTACATGAATTATGAGACTGACATCAGTTTCCCATATCAGTGACGTACAGATATTAATATTTGTAAAGAGTATGTACGAAATTTATTTAATTATTACAAGTTAACTGATCTTAGAACTCTCACTTCGTTAAGCTGAACTAGAACCGAAAGAGAAAGTCGAATATATAAAAATGGTTTGATCCTTGTACTGTATCTGTATTTAAACTACGAAGTATATCAGTATAATGTTACACGTAAGGATTTAATTTTAAACTGAATAATGTAATCACTTCTTCTAAAGGGGAAAGTGTGAAATAGGAAGTTTAATTTTATTTCGTTTTGAATTTGTTTAGTTGTTTCTCATTCTATCATCATTTAGTTAATCTGTAAATTTTTAACTTGCATTTTAGTTATTCACATTAATTTAAAATTTTAGTTATGAGACCGACACCAGTTTCTCATAGAGGTGACTTATAGATGTTAATGTTGGTAACAAGTGTATAAATAATCACATTATTTCAAATCTCTTGATCTAATTAATTATAGCAACTTTGCTGGCCTTTGGACTTAACTTCCCGTAACCTGAATCTGAGCAGAAGGTAGAGAAGCTGAAGATCTGAGAACACTACGCCTTTTCTTTGTAAGATGTATGTACTTAAACTGGGCAGGATTCATGGTGTCAGTATAATGAGATCATTAATAGTAAGGATACTAAAACTAGTAATTTATAAGCCATGATTAATGTGATCACTTCGGTTTTCAAAAGGGGGGGGGGGAAGGAATACGAGGTAGCAAATTATATTTTAATTTCGTTATGGT